AATGTTTTTCAAAGATAGAATGTTACAACGCTAAATATCAGGCCATTTTAGCTGAACAATATTGGGGCATCATGTCCCTATTAAAAAAAGAGGGGGGGGGGGGGATTGTGTCTCTTAAGAAATCAATTTAGTGACTCGCTTTGGAATCCAACTTTTGAACTCTTATGACATTTGATGTCATTGGTAAAGACTAAGCATATTAGAAGTTGAACTAGTTTTGAGATAGACGATCTCTTGCAATGCTGTCATCTATAAAACTAAATTCTTGGAGGTAGTTCTATCCATGTCTAAAGCTATTCTTCTCAAATATTTTGAATTAGTAATTTTGAGATCTGTGTGTTTTAGTTTTGACTTGTGACCTTTTGAAATGCAAGACGTAAAACATATTGGTTCTTGTGATTTTTCTGTTGAGATTGTTTAGTTCTTTCAACTTTCGATACTGTTATGTGTATATATGTTGTTGTATGTGTATTATTTGCACCACAAATCCTTTCCCGGGAAAAACAGCTTGGGCAAATGTTAATGCTATCTTTAAGCTCTAAAAAAAATCTTTTAATGTCTAATAAATTGTCATTCAGTGAGAGTATTTATTATAATAGAGCAATTGTCTTTATCACAATTAGAGAGTCAAGTCTATATGACCCATTTCGTCGTAGGAGTTCTTTACAGAAAATTAAGCTCAACTGTAGGAGTTCTTTTACTGAAAATTAAGCTCATCTGTATTTTGTCCTTTTACTTTTGGTGTAAAGAATTTTGCGTAGTTGAAACTGAGACTTTATTAGAGTCCTTGTAAGAAGAATCTTGGACAGATGTAAATAGGTCTCTTCCTTCTTTTTTTTTTTTGGTAATTGTGATTTCCAACACAAGCTTTGTGTTGATGAATATACTGTTACCTTTATCAGAAAAAGGTCTATATGATCCATTTCCACAATTTGCGTTCAGTAGGGCAGATATATGTCCAATACAATTCTATCTTAATGTGTGTTATTTCCTTTGCATGATTATCTGAGAATGCTAATCCATTGGCAAGGCTTACCTTCGGCTTTTGTCAAATACTGCACATTGGTGTGTCTTCGACGACATCTATATTTGTAAATTTGCATGGATTATGACATATTGTGGGTTTTCGCTATGTTGGCCTATTGTTTTTATTGCATTTACAACTAAGTTCCTCATGTTTTACTCCTCATGCAGTGGTCCTCTTTCCTGGATTGTGAAGGTAGAGTCACAGACTCGGAAGCAGTAAGAAAGAGGATATTTTACGGAGGAGTCGAACAAGGTCTACGTAAAGAGGTCTGTCCTTGTACAGGTCAACCCCACTCTTCGTCCGTCTCTATGAGCATGAATATACTTATATGTCCTTATGGCAGGTGTGGCGATTTCTGTTGGGATATCATTCATATGATTCAACTTATGCGGAGAGGGAATACCTTGTGTCTGTCAGAAAGTCGGAATACGAAACGATAAAAAACCAGTGGAAGGTTTGTCATATTCTCACTGTGGGGGAGGGGTTTCAAAAGTAAAATGGTCCTGATTCCTTATTTAGTCAATCTTTATTGATGTCCTCCTTCAATTAGTAAAATGCTGTTTCTTAGAACGTATGAGTGTGCGATAGTTTAAATTTTAGATCACATTAGGTGCAATAAGATCCTTTTCTTCTTACATTTGTTTTGTTGCTCTTGTAAGTTTAAGGTCTCCGACACTTGCCTTTTTGATATTTGAGGGTTCGCCTTTCATTTTGCAAAATACAGATTGCTTATTAAGACTGATTTCCATGTTGATGCTGCCATAACCTGGTTTACTAATGGATATAGTGATTGATCATAGTTAATTAAGAATGAACACAATTATAAGTGTTGCTGGAGATTAAAATACTTTCTGACGCTTTTCTTATGGGAGACTCCAAACAGATCATCCAGGATCTTGGAAAAAGTTGATTCCCCGGAACTTTGTTCCGGGAGTTCATTCAATAATGTGAAATCCTAGTTTCATGTGAAGGATCAGATGAATTAAATCATTTATCTTTTAGATATGATTTTTCATGTGGGAAGTATATCCCTATGTTTTCCTATTGTCCAGGAGGAGCCAAGACAAGAAAGTCTCTTTCAGATATCTTTTGCTAAAAAATTAGTTTCCAATCTTATCTGCGCTGACCTTCTCTCTGCAGAGCATCTCTAAGGAGCAGGCTAGAAGATTTACAAAATTTCGAGAGAGGAAAGGCCTTATTGAAAAAGATGTGGTATGTGTCAAATTTATCTATTTTCACGGGCCTGTAAATGTTTTTTGTTTGAGAACCTAGATGCTCTTTTCATCCTTGCAATTCACAATCAGTGATACTACTAAAACTACTATTATTGGTTATTATTATGTTTATTATAAGGGGAAAAACTGATATTTTATTCTTCTTTCTTCCATTGTTCTTTCTTATTTGATCTGCAAGGTGAGGACTGATCGGTCAATTTCATTCTATGATGAGGATGACAGCCCAAACATTAAATATTTGCGTGATATACTGCTGACTTACTCATTCTACAACTTTGATTTGGGTTACTGTCAGGTAACATCTTCCTATAAGCTTAATTGTGTTCTTTGCTGATCAATACGTTCACACACTGTTTTACAAACAATTTGATCATATGTGACATCTCTGCTACATACATGTTTTTGACTTTCTGGCATTGAAATCCTTCTGGTCTGTTGCTACCCTTTTCTTTCTTCCTTTTCTCTCTTGATTGTTTTGTAGCCAATATAGGATGACTAGAGCTTGAACATTGACTCTTTATTGGTTGCACCCAGTCCAAGATTGATGTTAACTTTGTCCAGACATCATCAGTAGATTTATGGGAGAATAACTTTGTAAAATCAAACAACAGAACTACAAAGTTATAATTTCTTTTTCTACTCTATTCTAACTCCGAAAATTTTACATTAAACTGTAGAATTTTCTTAGTCAGAAGATTTACAAACTATAAATTTTCCTCAAAATTGCGTTGTTTTAATATTATAGGGTTTTTCCATAACGAAGCAGCAAGATATTTATGTCATTTCTTGCAAGTCTATTAGTTACCGCTGAAATTTCATGATAGTTGACCTTAGCAACCATTTTATCATGGGAAGATACAACCTTTCAGATTCTATGTAATATATATCACTTGTCCTAACTGATATTACCAAGTCTGTCTTATTGATGGTTTTTTGATTTTCTCATCTTCCCAAAAATCAGTTCGTTGGTATGATATTGGTGAAGATACCATACTCTATGCTATTGTGGAAACCCTTTTTGCTCAAATATTCTCTGTGCAACTTAATGCCTCTTCCTTTTCTTTCATAGTTTCTCACTGATTGATAGATAAACATCTTATTCTCTCGAGTTGCAGGGCATGAGTGATCTCCTTTCACCAATATTATATGTCATGGAAGATGAATCAGAATCATTTTGGTGCTTTGTGGCATTGATGGAACGACTAGGACCGAACTTTAACCGTGACCAAAATGGAATGCACTCTCAGCTTTTTGCATTATCAAAGGTTCTTTCCCTGACACTCTCTATCTCACTCACACTCTCTCCCCCTCCCTGCTCTCTTGTTTCCAGTTCCTAAAACCACCAATGGGTGGGATCTCCAACTTCGTGAGAAGGTTCTAGCATCAGCATTTACCTCCCAGTGAACCCCAAAGAGATGGTGCACTTAACCAGAGATTTATTGTAAGGGTACAGTGCAAGAGACTGTCATGTTTGCCCAAATTCAGAAGTTTATGTGCTAACTGTGTTTTGTTCTCTCTTTCCTTGTGTCTATAATAATTGTTTTGAAAGAGTAAACTGATACAGGGGTAGTTGGCATGTGTTTGATTGGTCTTCTAACTGATAAAGAAATGGACCTTGGGCCTAACTCAACCTCAAAAGTTAGCTCAAAGAGTGAGGACTTCCCAAGCCATATAAAGAGACCATGTTGCCCATCCCTTAGCCGATATGGGAGACTCAACACTAACCTGCTACCTATCTAAGAAGGCCTAACCTTTGTTGATACGCATTCATTGGCTTTATATATCTGTGTGCGCCTGATTATCTTAAGCTGGTAGGAACTGGTTGTTCAGCAAGTGACTTCATTAAAAAAAAAATGGTAGTTCAGCAAGTGAATAGTCCCATGCCATCTTGTTTCCCCCTTCTGATTCTTTCCAGCTATGTTAGATTCTTCTTTTGTATTATACACTTTTGAGCTGATAAATATTTGCTTTCCTACAGAAAATTAATGTTTTTACTGTGCTGCAGTTGGTGGAGTTGTTAGACAGCCCTCTGCATAATTACTTCAAACAGAAGGACTGCTTGAATTATTTCTTCTGCTTCCGCTGGGTTCTTATACAATTCAAAAGGCAAGCTACATACTCGTTTTCATCTTCTTTTTTCCCTTTTGCATATATTTCTAATCTCCATTTTCAATCTTATATTTGAAATGTTTCTGCTCAAAAGAATCTTATTTGGACTGTTCCATATGATCAAGTGGAAATCACAAAGAACTTTAGCTGCCCTTTGATGTTGTTAGTCCCATCTCTTGTACTAAGCTTCCTGCCCCTTTCTTTCAGTGTGCATGCCACTTTTGTATTTCCCTTTGTCTTACTATGTTTTTCCATTGACCCTCAGACAGTTAATTGGTCCTGGGACCTGAAGTAAAAAATTTCTTTCCCTATCTTGTTCGCCTGAACGCACTTCTGATACCTTGAATCCTGCCCATTTTCTAGATATCCTGAGCCTACCCAAAGTTTATTTCATCTCATGCCTGCATACTCATATGAGTCCTGCACATTCATAAAGCTAAATGCATGAAGGGAACAGCTAATCCTGTTCCTTCATTAGAGAAAAACGTGTGGGTTATCAAAATGCTACCATCTTGTACTTCACGTGAAATATTCACGATTAGACAAAGTCAAGGTTATGACCTCAGCTTTTAACTGCCACTATCTTGGATATTAGTCAAGATACTCACAAACAGGCATGAATCCAAATTAACTTGCTTACAACCCATGTCAGCACTTTCGTAACAAAGGGACATGGTTTCCTGTTTCATATGTACACTAACATTTTATGGATGTGCATCCTTTTCTCCCTCAGCACCCTTCTCCATGGGGAGAAAAGAATGAAAGAAATGAATTATGCCAAAGATCTTTTATTGCTTACCCACCACAGTGAACTGTGCTGGGATACACTATCATTGTCTGAAAGTTACCGTTGTGGTTCTTCTAGTTTCTTCAGTGCATTTCTCTTTTCTCAAATCCTGTACTGCTTTCTTTAGTGTCAGCCTCGGGTGCCACTAAATATATGCTACAATTTGCTGCTTCAATTCGTTTTTCTTTATTTGTTTAGTTTATTTATTTGTTGATTCTGGTCTTTTGTAGGGAGTTTGAATTTGAGAAAACAATGCGGTTGTGGGAGGTATTATGGACGCATTATAGGAGTGAGCACCTTCATCTGTATGTCTGTGTCGCAATTCTGAAAAGATATCGCAGCAAAATAATAAGAGATGAGATGGATTTCGACACGCTATTGAAATTTATCAATGAGCTGAGTGGCCATATTGACCTGGATGCTATTCTCAGGGATGCAGAGGCTTTATGTGTATGTGCTGGTGAGAATGGTGAATCTTGCATACCTCCCGGAACTCCACCTTCATTACCACTTGACGATGCTTCAATGTACTATCAACAGGATGATGATGATGTACTATAATTTCTTCTTAGGCTGTAAAATTTCTTGGTTCGATAAATGACCTTCACGATCAACGGTATTTTTCCATGTGCATATAATGAATTCATGTAAAGGGGACGAAGCAGATTTTTGCTAGCCATCTCTTCCACGTCAGTTCTTTTACTATATTTCTTGTCTCTGTTGCGATGCTTCAGCTTTTATGTTAGCAAGGCACCCTCGTCCAACAACAGGTAAAAAGGAGCCAACAAAGGGCAAAATACAAAATTGGCCGGTCGGCTGAAATTGATGGCATACGCTAGTCGAAAAGTATATAAATATGTGTTTTTTTGTGTATAATACACCTTTTATATTGTCGGCTATTATTTTGGAAGTGTCTAAAAATATATGTTGCTCCCAAATGCACGCGCAAGTATACGTGGTCGACAAGTAATATAATGATAAGTTGAGTGTCGAACCTACAAAGACTTGTGTAAACTACTCACGGAATTACTCAAATTGCAACTACTCACGGAATTACTCAAATTGCTATTCAGTCCAGCTAAAATCAAAGTCCAATGATATGATTATATTATACTACGATTCTAAGTAAAAACTAAATTATCAAGTAACTAATTGATTGTTGTGTATTCAGTAGAGATAAGTATTCCAGGGTTGTGATCAATTCACCATTCGTATTGTGTTCTAATTAACTCTCCCCTTCATATAATTCACTCATGGTTGCTAATTAATCGATAGATGCTCTCATAGCCTTCTCCCGAAGTACTACTCACCTGTTCTCAATAGATTAAAGCCTATATTCTTATGAAATCAATCTATTAAGAACGCATTAAGATTACGATATTTAATTAAGCACAGTGACTAGGTATATTCCTATCCTAACCACAAATCCGCTCCCCCTAAGGGTTAAGATCACGCTCTCTTCAATTCTTCTCTAATCTAAACATGGCTTTCCCAAGCGTAGCATAGATAGTAAATAGAATCTAACTATTGGCCAGACAATTAAGCAATTAAACACAGAATTGAAGAAACAACCATATATTGGTGAATTATAATCAAGGTCAAGCTAATATCAAACCACAATATTCATGGCTAAATCACAACCCCAGAACAATGGGTGTTTAGCCACTCATGCTAGCGTTCATCACAATAAGGTTCAATTTCATCACAATTAGCAAAAACCAAGGGAAGAAAAGAAGAACTTGATGATCAAAATCTCTATCTTGCCTTTTGCCTCTCTATCCCTTCACTGGACTATGAAAACCTTGATAAATAATCCTAGGGCGAGCTTGACTTTATATAGGTTAAGTGGGATTTCCTCCTGATTTCCAATTATACCCTTGAAGAACGCTTCCCGAAAATTGGACTAGCGCGGTCGCGCATATGGGCGCGCATCTGACCGCGCTAGTTGGCAGGTGTTCTGTTCAGGGCGCGCTAAAATTAGCGCAGGCGCGCATCTGGGCGCGCTAGCCCAGTACTTTGTTTCCTCACTTCTTTTTCTCGTCTTCAAGTGTACTCATCTCCGAAGGGTGTTTCTTGCTCCAAAATAGTTCCAATCACAACTTTAAGGCATCACGTAGGATCCTCATCCTGCAATGTATAGAATTCACAATTAGAGCCCATTTTTAATCAATTAACCACATTATGACATCGGAATATAACTAAGCGGGAGCATAAACAATTGCCAAATTACCTAGATTTAGCCTCTTATCAACACCCCACACTTAATTCATTGCTAGTCCTCGAGCAATCACCCTATACTTTCTAGAGGTTCCTTCACTCAACCATATCCCCTAACGCATTACACCCAGAACAATTTACATACATTACGCCTAGCAGTGAACAATCCTTGCCTTAAAAGTCGACTCTCAAGTGCCATGCAATATTCATACTTCCTCAAAGTACTCTACACAGAAGTCAAGACTTGTCTGTCCTTCACAAATCACATGCCCTCACAATCACAGTAAGGAGAATAAAATCAATCCGCATATTTGAGTCTCATGCTCACATATATCAAAGGAAATTTCTCACCCTCACAAAAGAAGTCACATGCATGCAATTGGTACCATAAGCTTGCCCTTAATGTAAATGTCTACCAATGTAGGCTCACTCGATCTAAAATCAATTAGGACTTTTTCATGGTTGTAATGTGGGCTAAGGGACGGGTAGGATATATTTAGGAATAGTGGTTCACCCTCCTAAGCACTTTAACACATCACATAATCACTTTGAGCTCAAATTCTTCAATCTACTTCAATTTCACAACTAAAATCACTCCCAACAATGTTCCCTCTTTCTTTAAGCACCACTTTAATTTATACCCCACTAGCAAGAACAAGCCAACAATTTATTCACCTATAGTTTCCTTTTTTTTTCAATTTCCGCTAGTGGTGTATTATTTTACAAAACAAGTGCACCTTTATACCTCTTATTGGTTCCACTCAAAACCCACCCCACACTTAGTTCCTTCTTACTTCTTTTAGCGCTCATCTCACAATTAAAGTGCTTTAAGAGGTAAAAGGATCAAAGCAATGTCAATTAAGAATAAAAAGGGTATAGGCTTGTAATGTAGGTACCAAATAAAAGTCTATAGGCTCAAAAGGGTTGACTAGGGATAAATTTTATTTGCGGTAAGCAATTAAGCTCAAAAAGATCAAAGAAAGCCTAAAATCATTTTTCAAATCGAGCATCACCTCAAATTTCGCTTCAACTCACATACCGGGCAAGTTCTAGACATAAGTACAATACATGGACTACACAAAAACCTCACCACACATGGCATATGATTCATTCCAGATCAGCTCATCAAGACACTCCATTACGAGCATTCAATTCAGTAACAAACACACAGATTAAGGCACTTTAGTGAGATTCAACAAATAAGACTACGTTACACTCTAGGGTCTATTGTGTTCAGGTGTGTCAACGCTATGGGTTCTCTCTTGATTTTGTAGCTCGTAGCCCATTAACCTACTCTACAAATCAAAAAGAAAACAAAATAAAAATAAAACTACCTATACCCGGTTCAGGTTAAAACCCTTGGAAAAGAACCGTGGCCCATAGAAAAACCAAGGGGGAGTTGCTACACTACCTACAAAAAAAAAAATCTTTTTGGTGTTTTCTCTAGACTAACTTCCCTCAAGAAAATTGTCTAAAAGATCCATCATCAGGAAGAGTCTACATATTTTTTTTCTTCGACTTAGTTCCTTAAGAACCCCGCCGAAAGGGATCCGTCATCGGGATGAGCCACTTATCTATTTTAAACTAATGGTTCCTACTTAACACCAAAACTATCAAAGTCAAATAAAACAAAGCAAAAACAACATTCAAATGGTACAACTACATACATACAATGAAGTACCCCCACCCCACACTTAAAAATGAAGACATGTCCCCATGGCTTAAAATTTGAAAGAGCAGTGAGGTGAAGGAACTTCCCTGAAGTGTCACTCCTGATCGGAGACAGTGTCTGGGTTGACGTGGCACGCACGACCCAGAGCTCGCAGCCATCCCATGAATTTCTTTTCCGGCTTCACTTATCGGTCAGCTACCGCGTCTATTCGGGTGCCCAAATCAGTCATAGATGTTCGCAAATCAGCCATCTCCTGCTCCAAAGCAGTGAAACGGGACACTCGGGTAGCTCCTGAAGAAGTTGCAGTCCTAGATGGTCCTGCAGCTGCTACACCTCGCTCCTCAGCCTGTGGTGCGGCCTCCACGTTCTCCTCAGCATCCTCCTCATCATCAAAATCAGCAGAGCTACTACTCTCTGCCGCCTCTACTACTTCCGGCTCCTTGCCCGTGGTCACCTTATCAGCACGGAACTTGCCCTCCTTTTTGACCAACCCATCCACAGCTAAATTTTTGGGTACCCGAGCATCCCTGCATAGTTGAGTCACTAAAGAGGGAAAAAAGAATCCATAACTTTTGACTTGACTTCGGATGAATATCTTATCATGCATCACTTTGGCCACATCGAAGTCGTAACCATTTATAAAACACCAAATCAAGGCAGCTCGGGGCCCATTTACCTCTGTAGTATTGTGAGACGGAATCAAGCGGTTGTTTATGAGGTGCAACCAGCACTTCCCTTCAAAGGTGAGTACTGAGGAGTGGAATTTTGTCCCCATAGTCCATCCAGACCACTTCTTTTCCGGGCACACAAATTGTCTCAAAGAATCGTGCCCATTTTCCGTTGTTCATTGGGTGGTGGCCGTACTCATAGAAGTAATCACTAGCATCCGGAGGTGGAGGCAGCTGGTAGGCCACCCGTATTGCCTCAACAGAAGCATTCACCGCCCGTCGGCGCACCGTGACTACTCCATTAACATGCTCCGGTACATTGGCATAGAACTCCCGCACAACTATTGCATTGCCCTCACCGGGCTCATTGATGAAGGTTTGCAACCCTCGCCTCACCAATTCATTATACATGCGCGGGCAGTGGTGCTGGAGCCATCCGACGTGAATACCCCTCTCCGGAATTGGCTTTCTACGAGCCTTTTCCGTAAAGCGGTCCTGAGCTGCGGCTGAAGCAAATTTTGTAACATCAAAGGGACGGGCATGTGCAGACCCTCTTGACCTAGCCAAACCAGCTTGGCTGCTTGATGAGGCCCCTGTGGCTTGTCGTTTCCTTCATGGAGCCATGATACCTGCAAAACGAAAAAAAATTAGCACAGCCCAACTAAAATTTGTGACGCAATGCGGTTACTCAGACTTCACACGCATATATGGTCACAAACTACATTAGCACGTTCATTCGGGCCTTTCCACGAACACCTTGTGGGCATTAGACCTTCACAACCCCTTTTAAGTTTTTTAAACAATAATCCACCACATACTCTCACCAAAATCACAAATCAAGTGGCATGCCACCCCACACTTATCACCCACCAACACCACAACTTATAGCACCAAATTCTCTACACAAAATCTAAGCACAACTACTATAACTAATTTGCATACAAACAACATCTGAAAAAAATAACAATAGAAAAAGAGAAGAAAAAGAAACTAGAGTTCATACCTGTGAGGGACGATGGTGGTGAGTGGAGAAGGAGAATGGGGATGTAGATAGGGAAATTGGGATGGGGGAAATCGTGAGATGGGGGAGGGAATTTGGGAGCAGGGGTTATGTTTTTGTTGGAAGGGGGAGAGGAGGGAAGGGCTGG